TGCAATGCCCAGCCCCCATGCTGATTGCATGCTAATGAGATGCTGATTGCATGCTAATGAGATGCTGTTGGGTCACTGGAGATGCAGAACTTGCAATGCCCAGCCCCCATGCTGATTGCATGCTAATGAGATGCTGATTGCATGCTAATGAGATGCTGTTGGGTCACTGGAGATGCAGAACTTGCAATGCCCAGCCCCCGTCACCGGGCGGCGCTGGGGGATCCTCGGTTGCCACCGGGTGGCGATGGAGGAGGGGGGGAAGGGGGAGGGAAACAGAAAGTTCTCCCAATGGAAGAAAAACTCATGATTTTCGGTTGGTGACGATCTCGCGGTGAAAACGAAACCTGCAACCAGCAAACAGCTGCGCAGAGAAACAGCAGCAAAAAAAAACTCTCCTCCCACGGGAAAAAAGCCAAAGAAGCAACCAGGCAGTCTGTCCTGCTCGCTGCAGCCTCCCCTCCGGCTCCAGAGCTGAGCTCCAACCCCCAAACCCCACCCCTTTCCATACACACCCCCTGGCCTTTCCCCAATTCCTCCCCCTTGGTTACTAGGTGATCAATGTCTGGTCATTTAGGGCTCTGGGTGATTAATGTCTGGTCATTGAGGGCTCTGGGTGATTAATGTCTGGTCATTTAGGGCTCTGGGTGATTAATGTCTGGTCATTAAGGGCTCTGGGTGATTAATGTCTGGTCATTAAGGGCTCTGGGTGATTAATGTCTGGTCATTGAGGGCTCAGGCCAACTCCTTTGTTTATCTGATGGCCCATTAACACACACACGCAGGAGGGGGGAGGGGAAAGGAAAGACAAAATTCCTTGTAAAATCAGGACTGGGACACATTGCCGCTGTGTCGTTGTCACCTGTGTCATCGTCATTGTCACCTGTGTCATTGTCACTGTGTCATTGTCACCTGTGTCATTGTCATTGTCACTGTGTCATTGTCACTGTGTCATTGTCACCTGTGTCATTGTCATTGTCACTGTGTCATTGTCACTGTGTCATTGTCACCTGTCCTGTGCAGTTGTCACTGTGTCATTGTTATTGTCACCTGTCCTGCGTAATTGTCGCTGTGTCATTGTCACAGTGTCATTGTCATTGTCACCTGTCCTGTGTCATTGTCACTGTGTCATTGTCACTGTGTTGTTGTCACCTGTGTCGTCGTCATTGTCACCTGTCCTGTGTCATTGTCACTGTGTCATTGTCACCTGTGTCATTGTCACTGTGTCATTGTCACCTGCGTCATTGCCATTGTCACCTGTCCTGTGTCATTGTCACTGTGTCATTGTCACCTGTGTCACCTGTCCTGTGTCATTGTCACTGTCTCATTGTCACTGTGTCATTGTCACCTGTCCTGTACAGTTGTCACTGTGTCATTGTTATTGTCACCTGTCCTGCGTAATTGTCACTGTGTCATTGTCACCTGTGTCACCTGTCCTGTGTCATTGTCATTGTCACCTGTCCTGTGTCATTGTCACTGTGTCATTGTCACTGTGTCATTGTCACCTGTGTCATCGTCATTGTCACCTGTCCTGTGTCATTGTCACTGTGTCATTGTCACCTGTGTCATCGTCATTGTCACCTGTCCTGTGTCATTGTCACTGTGTCGTTGTCACCTGTCCTATGTCATTGTCACTGTCTCATTGTCACCTGTGTCACTGTCACTGTCATTGCCTCCTGGCATTGTCACTGGCACCTGGCACCTGGCATTGTCACTGGTACTGTCACCTGGAGCACCTGGTGTCTCCAATGTCCCCAGTGTCCCCCATGATGTCCCCAAAGTCCCCAATGTCCCCAATGTGTCCCCACTGTCCCCAATGTCCCCAATGTGTCCCCAATGTCCCCAATGTGTCCCCAATGTGTCCCCAATGTCCCCAATGTTCCCATGGTGTCCCCAATGTGTCCCCAATGTCCCCAATGTCCCCAATGTGTCCCCAATGTCCCCAATGTGTCCCCACTGTCCCCCCCCAGCTCCTGCTGGAGCACCTGGAGCACCTGGTGTCTCGCCACGAGCGCTCCCTGCGGATGACGGTGGTGACATGGCCCCATGGTGTCCCCATGGTGTCCCTGTGTCCCCAATGTGTCCCCAATGTGTCCCCAATGTCCCCATGGTGTCCCCAATGTCCCCAATGTGTCCCCAATGTCCCCCCAGCTCCTGCTGGAGCACCTGGAGCACCTGGTGTCTCGCCATGAGCGCTCCCTGCGGATGACGGTGGTGACATGACCCCAACACCCCCGATGTCCCCAATGTCCCCATGGTGTCCTCAATGTCCCCAATGTCCCCCCCCAGCTCCTGCTGGAGCACCTGGAGCACCTGGTGTCTCGCCACGAGCGCTCCCTGCGGATGACGGTGGTGAAGCGCCAGGCTCAGTCGCCCTCGGGGGTCTCGTCGGAGGTCGAGGTGCTCAAGGCCCTCAAGTCGCTCTTCGAGCACCACAAGGCGCTGGACGAGAAGGTTCGTCACCCTTTTTTGTCACCCTGGGGGGCCCTGGGGGTCCCTGGGGGTCGCTGGGGGTCTCTGGGGGTCTCAGGGGGTCCCCGATGTCACCCAGGTGTCCTTGGGGGTCTCTGGGGGTCCCTGGGGGGGTCCCTGGTGTCCCCCAGGTGTCCCTGGGGGTCCCTGATGTCCCCCAGGTGTCCCCGATGTCACCCAGGTGTCCTTGGGGGTCTCTGGGGGTCTCTGGGGGGTCCCTGATGTCACCCAGGTGTCCTTGGGGGTCTCTGGGGGGTCCCTGATGTCCCCCAGGTGTCCCCGGTGATGCTGGGGGTCCCTGGGGGTCTCAGGGGGTCCCCGACATCACCCAGGTGTCCCTGGAGGTCTCTGGGGGTCTCTGGGGGTCTCTAGGGGTCCCTGGGGGGTCCCTGATGTCACCCAGGTGTCCCTGGTGACGCTGGGGGTCCCTGGAGGTCCCTGGGAGTCTCTGGGGGTCTCAGGGGGTCCCCGATGTCACCCAGGTGTCCCTGGTGATGCTGGGGATCCCTGGGGGTCTCTGGGGGTCTCTGGGGGTCTCAGGGGGTCCCCAGTGTCACCCAGGTGTCCCTGGGGATCTCTGCGGGTCTCTGGGGGTCTCTGGGGGTCCCTGGGGGGTCCCCAATGTCCCCCAGGTGTCCCCGGTGACACTGGGGGTCCCTGGGGGTCCCTGGGGGTCTCAGGGGGTCCCCGATGTCACCCA